TTGATGAGTCCCTCAGGAAGAGCAAGGGAAAGCAGGATTGAAAGTGAGAGCTCTGCTAGAATGGAAACTAAAAGAAGGCAAATTTCGATGGGATATTGGGAAGGAATTGTTCCCTGTGAGGGTGGTGAGCCACTGGCACAGGTTGCCCAGATCAGCTGTGGCTGTTCCATCCCTGGAAGTGTTCCAGGCCAGGTTGGATGGGGCTTGGAGCATCTTGGGCTAGTGGAAGGTGTCCCTGCCCATGGTGCTGGGTGGAATGAGTGGGCTTAAAGCCCTTCCAACCCAAACCAGTCTGGGATTTTGTTATTATATGAAAATCAAACCCAGGTTTTGAATGAAGCCAAACACAGTTTTCAAATGAACCCACTGGGCCTTGCATGCTTCTTGTAATTGAAGATATAGGAAAATAAACAATGTTTTCATTCCCATTGATGCTCCTGGGGTGCAGCTCTCCAGAAGGGCTGGGAGGGATCTGTGCAGGTGTCTCACAGAGCATAGGGTGACTGAATGCACCTGTGGGTGCTTTGGAGGTGGTTGAGCATCACAACTTTCCCTCCTACCCAGGGGGCTGAGAGCAGGGATAACCTTTATCCCTGTGTCAAGGCCATTGCCACAGCTGGAGGAGCTCCCTAACCACAAAATCATGGACTCATGAAGATGGTTATCAAATCCCTCTGGGATGGTAACTAATGCCTGGCCCCTGAGCACAGCAGTGCCTTGACCTCTCTGAGCTGCTGGCAGGGCTGTGTCAGTGTGTGTGGCATGAAGCCCCATGGGAGGTGTGAGCCCCATTCCCACAGCGAGGTGTGAGCTTTGCAGCTGCCAGTAAACATCTGTGCTCACACACTGATGTTTACCATTCTCACAATGTACTCAAAGCTGTAAACCACTTCCCATATGTGGGGCTGCTGGAGGTTGGGGCACTCTGAAAGTATCCCCAGCATCTCTCTGAAGCACAGGTCCTGCCTTCTGGGATGGGAAGGGCTTTGCCACTCCAGATGGGCTTCAAAGGGACCATTGTCTGCCTGCCCTGGCCAGCAAGGGCTGTGCCTGGCACCTACATCCCCTGGGGGAAAGAGGAGGGCTCAGGGAGCTCTGGCACCACTTGCCAGTGTGCTATGGTCCCACAGCCTCTCCTGCATCCATCCACAGCCCCACAGCCTCTCCTGCATCCATCCACAACCCCACAGCCTCTCCCCAATCCATCCCCGTCTCCTGCATCCATCCACAGCCCCACAAGCTTTCCTGCATCCATCCACAGCCCCACAGCCTCTCTTGCATCCATCCACAACCCCACAGCCTCTCCCAAAGGCTAATCCTTGTCACCATCTATATCCCAGGGGGTGAAGACTATATCCCAGGGGGAAGGCCTCAGCACTCACTATAACATCCTTCCTTCCAGTCTTCCTCTTTGAATAATTTGACCTTTTTATTTCCAACCTGCACCAAAACAAACCTCATAGCCCAGTCTGGCAGAGGCTAAAATGGTACAAAATGGCTCAATTCCATGACTCATAAAGGAAGCTCAAGAGAGGTCAACTCATAAACACTCAAACTGTAGCTGCTGCCATAGCAGAGAGCTCTCGGATTTGCTAGAGCAGCAAAAACCAGTGTAGAGAAGGATGAAAGAGAAACCTAAAGAGGCCCCTGACGGCGACTTGCCCTGAACCATCCCTGCCAGGGCCAGACAGTGACTCAACCAGCCCTGGACTGGGGGGTCAAGGACGTGGAGGAGCTGCCCTCACTTCCAGGAGGCTTCTCTGCACTCCAGGAGGAACAACATCCAGCTGACAAACGGCAGCTCTGTAGGCGCTAATTGCTTTATGCTGATGACACAACCAAGCAGCTGCAGCAGCTCTTTGCAGCCTCCTCCTCCTCCTCCTTGTCCAGCTCCATCACATTGGTCAGGTGTCAATAGCTGCTGTCCTGACACTGACCATCTCAGGGCTTCCAGGTGGAGGGCAAGGACAGGCAGGTCTGACCCCTCCCCTGGCCCCATGGCTTGTCCCTTGCAGGCAGCAGCTGGTGAGCAGAAGGTGTGAAGTTCCCATGAGCAAAGCTGTCCCTGGCTGGTGTTAGCCACAGCGTGTCTTTCTGTAGCCACAGCCCTTGTCACTGGTGGCTGCAGCACTGGTGGTTTGTTATTTCCCCATGCATATGCTCGCATATGCGTTGGAAGAAGAGAGGAACATCAAACTTCCACTGGTGGTTTTCTGCATGATTTATTTCCATGGCAAAAAGCCACACTTGGTTTTGCTCTGCAGCAATTCAGCCAAAAGTTGGAGCCACTTCTTCTGCCATTGAATCTCTGCCCAGAGTTGCTCAGACTTATCCAGGAGAGCAGAGCTGGTCCTACCAGGGCTTGCTGTGAATCCAACAACATCCAATGCCTTCCCTGATGTTCATGTCAGGACTTGTAGAGTCTTCATCCCCAGTAAAAATGTATATTTGAACACTCTGGTGAGGTCTCTCCCCAGCTAAGGCTGAGTCACAGCCATCAGCACCAGGGATGTATCACAGGACATGGCTGTGTGGGGATGGAGGAATGTTAAGAGGATCCTCCCTGTGGGAAAGTGTGGGAAGGAGCAGACCATCACCCATCTCAGGGGCCTCAAACCAACCTCCTTTCACACCCTGCCAGGGATGAGGCCATTGGTGAAGAATGGTGTGCTCTTATGTGCTGCTCCAGGGCAGCCCAGCAGGGTTTTTGGAGGGTGAAAATCCAGGCTCAGGAACACATCCAGAGGCTTGAGCATCTTCTCTGCAGTGGAGGGTCTTGACAGCATGCCCAGAATGTGCCAGGACATCAGGAAACCTAGGTCATTCCTCTCCAGCTTCCCAGGCAGGAGCTGCCCTGAGCAGTTGACCTGCTGAGGTGTAAAAGTCTCTCCCATGTCAAGCAGATTCTCTACCACTCATTTCTCACCTTTTCAGCCAGAAAAGCCATCTTTTACTCAAGGCAATCCCCCTCTTCCAGCAAACCCCTGCTCCCTGGGCACTGAGATGGCAGAAGACCTTCCCACCTGCACAGACCCTCCAAAGCAGGGTGAGATCCTTCCCTTTGACTGCTTTGTGAATGCCTGTGAGTCATTAAAGTCACTGTGAGTAGCCTGATGCCTCACCAACCTGGTAGCCTTCCAAGAGGAGATGGCCAGGCAGGTGGATGTGGGCAGAGGAGGAGTGGGTGTTGTTTATTTTGACTTGAAGGATCTCATAGTAACCTTGAGGGCAAATGGATGAAGTGTGGATTAGATAAACAGCAGTGAAAGGCTGAAACTGAGATGGATTGAGGGTTGTGATCCATGGCACAAAATCCAACTGTTGGCCAGCTGCCAGAGGGGAACCCCAGGGATTGATACTGGGTGCTCTCTAATATCTTTATAACCTGTCTGATGGGTCAAAGTGCATCCAGACATGGGAGGAAGGGCTGGAACACTAGAGGGATATGCTGCCATCATAGAATCATGGAATGGTTTGGGTTCAAAGAGGCCTTAAAGCCCATCCATGGGCAGGGAGACCTTCCACTAGCCCAGGTTGCTCCAAGCCCCATCCAAGCTGGCCTGGAACACTTCCAGGGATGGAGCAGCCGCAGCTTTTCCGGGCAACCTGTGCCAGTGCCTCAGCACCCTCACAGTTAAGAATTTCCTCCTAATATTTAATCTAAATCTCCCTTTTTTTTTTTTAGTTTAAAGCCCTTCCCCCTTTTCCTATCACTGTCAGCTGTGGAAAATCCAGAGAGACCTCATCAGGCTGACAAAAAACCTCAGGAAATTCAAGGAGAAGTGCTAAGTCCTGCCCCTGGGGAGGAACACCCCCATGCACCAGTACATGCTGTTGCTGACCAGCTGGGAAGGAGTTTGACACAAAAGGACCTGGTGGGCACCAGACTGGACATGAGTAGCAATGTGCCCTTAGCACCAAAAGGCCAACAGGCTCTTGGGCTGCATGAGGAGGAGCACTGACAGCAGGTAGAGGGAGGTGAGGTGACCACTCACCTCTGCTCAGCACTGCTGAAGCCACTAGTGAAGTGCTGGGTCCAGTTCTGGGCTCCCCAGTACGAGAGACACATGGAGACAATCCAGAAAAAAAGCCACAAAGATGGTGAAGACTCTGGAGCATCTCTCCAAGGAGGAGACCCTGAGACCTGAGACTGTTCATCCTGGAGAAGAGAAGGCTCATGGGGGATCTTACCAATGTGTGTGTGGAGCAAAGTTGTTGGAGCCTGACACTGGCTGCCACTGAAAGGACAGGAAGCAATGAGAGATTCTGTATAAACACCAGATAAAGCTTTATTGAACACCAAAACAAGCTGCCCAGAGAGGATGTGGAGCCTCCAATCCCTCCTGGACACAGTCCTGGGCAACCTCCCCAGCTGCTTAGAGCTGAGACTGGCCTGGCTGGTTTCCAGGGGTGCCTGCAGCCTCAGCTCTTCCCTGGCCCACATTAACTCCTGTGGGTGTGGGGGAGGCAGGCAGAGCATTTTGGGGGAGCACAGAGTCTGAAGTCCTCCCCAATCTCAGCTCCATGGGCAGCTCAGCAGCCTGTGCTACGTCCCCAGCACATAACGGCACGAGAGCACTTTGAGGCTGCTTGTTGTGGTTTTTGCTTTCCAGAGTTGCATAATCTTATGCAAACATTATGTTTTTCCCTATAGAGACTCCAGGGAAAGCCCCTCCTGGAGGCCAAAGCAATGCTTCTCCTCTCCGTGGCCAAAGGACTTGGCACAGCTTAGTTTCCTTTTGATTTGAATGGAATGAAATGAAAGTGAAGCTGAGTCAGAGTTAGAAATACTTGGCTCCAGTGGGAACCAAATTCCATTGTTCCCAACTTGGTTAACTTGGTTTTTTGCTTCTAATTCCCTTCAAGCTATTTCACTTTTGGGTCATCCTTTATCATCTGCCTGGAATTTCCGTTTCGGCTTCTCCTAGGACTCCCCTTTAAAAGGGAGCTGAGAGCAGCTGCTGCAGAGTGAGCTGCACCTCCCAGAGCTCCTGGTCCTGCATCTCCCAGAGCTCCTGGTCCTGCTCCAACAGCCCTCGCTGACAGCAACATGAAGGTCTCTGCAGCCCTTTTGGGTCTTCTCCTCCTTGCAGCCTCCTTCTCCCAGACTCTCTGTGGCCCAGGTGAGTTCTGCTTTTTCATTTGGGAAGGAAAAACCCTGGCAGAAAACTGGGAATTTAGCATTTGTATCACTCTGCTCTGCCAGGAGATCAGCTGCATGTAGGAACCCTGGAATTAGAAAATCATCCATCCATCCATCCATCCATTCATCCATCCATCCATTCATCTATCCACTTATTCCTGGTTAGAGTTGAGGTCCTTCAGCCTCTGCCCTGGGGCTGGGGGAGGTGGGGAAGTGAAGCTCTGAGCAATGCCAGGGTAGGAATCTCCCTCAGTACCTGAACACTCTCCCTGACATTGGACCAGATGATCTCCAATGTTCATTTGAACCTTAATTACTAATTCCTCACTGCCTACTCCACCAGCACAGCTCCCAATGCTCACATTGTCTCTCCTTGTCTCTTCCAGATGGATCTAACCGCCCAGTCTGCTGCTTCTCCTACACACAGCACAAGCTTCCCCAGAATCTCATCCTCCGTCACTACAGCACCAGCACCAGCTGCCCCAAGGCTGCCATTGTGTAAGTGCCAGAGGGACTCCAGGCTGGGACAAGCTGGAGATGGGCAGGGAGAAGCCACCATGGTGGGGTGTGGGTGGGTGACCAGCTCTGAGAGTGGCTGTGGGCATGGGGGGCTGCAGGAACAGAGCAGGGGCAGGAGAACCCCAAGGGGAAAGGGCTTGCACAGGGACTGCCAGGAATCCTCTTGTGGGGACACAAGGGATGTTGAGACTGGGACTCTGCAGGAGTTGAGGAGGCAGTGTGGGAAAAGGGATGGTGGGGTGGGAATCCCAGTCAGCTGCTGGTTTCAGCATCAGATTAGGGCACAGGGGAATACCTCTTGCAATGCCCTGAAGCTGGGATCTGGATTCTCCTGGGCAGAGATCAAACATGTCCCATCCCTGCTCCACAGGTTCATCACAAAGAAAGGCCGTCAGGTCTGTGCCAACCCCAGTGACACCTGGGTCCAGAGCTACCTGCAAAGCTTGAAGCAGAACTGAGCCAAGCAAAACTCAAGTGTAGCTGTGGTAATGCACAAGTCACATCATCCTGAGCTCCAGCGATGGAGCATCACCCTGAGGCACAGGAGCTGCAGGAGCCCATGGCATCTGCAGGCATCTCCAAGGGACTGCTGGAAGGACACCCTGGGACACCTCATGTTGGCTTGCACAGACCAGGCTGCAACCTCATCCCTCTACCCTGACCCCTCATAGAATTGTAGAATCATAGGATCAACCGGGTTGGAAGAGACCTCAAAGAACATCCAGTCCAGCCCCATGGAGCTGCGCCTTTGCTCTGATATTGCTTGGAGTTATTTAAAGTATTATAATCTAGGGTTGGAGCACTTTTATCTATGGAAAATTATGCTATTTATGGGAGGGTGGTATTTACAGCAAGGTCACCAGATGTTGGTGGGTGACCCTAGTTTACAAGTGTTGACTCATGATTTTGGAGAATAAAGAGTTTGTACAAAACCTCTACTTTTTTTCCCTTTATGTGTCTCTCTGTGGTGTTCACCAGCACCGGCAGAACCTCCCCCTCAGCCTCTCTGTGTCATGTGAAGATGGGAAATGGTTTGAGGCAAACCCATGAAGTTTCCATCCTGCAGACACATGAGCATCCTCCGAGACCTCACTCCCCAACACATACACCCTTACCTCTCACATCCTCTCCAGAATTAGCTGTTTGTACACACAGAGGCACTTTGACACACATGAATCTGCTCTCCATGTCTCCCAGGCATGTCCCTGGGCTGGGGGAAGCCCTGAGCTGGCTGCTCCCACTTCACACCCTGTACTGCTTGGTGAGTTTAGGGAAAGGGAATTTGGAATAACACAGTTCTCAGGGAGGTTTAACAAGAAATGAATTTTACTTAGAATAAGATAAGGCACTTGGCAAAGAGTAACACAGTGAACTTCACAGCATCCAAACACAGTGAGAACTGTAACTCAGCACAGCTGAAAGGACAAAGCACTTAGGGCACTGAACAGGCTCCTGGTGAGTCATTAATGGGTACTTAGTGCTGCTTATGATGGATATAGTGAGGAGGAGAAAATAAGAGAAGAAAAAGAGAGGAAAAAAAAAGATGAGAGAGAGACTCCATGTGGATCCAGCAGAGTCTCAGCAGCTCTGAGCCCAGGGCAGGGCTGAGCTCCCACTGTGCTATGTTTTGGGCACAGCCACAGAGCTCTTGGCAGCTATTTCGGGGCTTACAATGGAGCCATGTGGGCACCAAGGCCATTTCAGGGTCACACCAGAGCCGTAGCATAGGGTCACTGACACCATTTCATGGTGACACCAGAGCCATAGGGTCACTGACAACATGTCATGGTCACAGCAGAGCCCTATGGTCACCAAGAACATTTCAGGGCTCACAGATCATGTGGCCACTGCTACCATTTCAGGGTCACACCAGAGCCCTATGGTCACCATGGACATTCCAGGGCTCAAGGACCATGTGGTCACTGCCATCATTTCAGGGCTCACACCAGAGCCATGTGGTCACGGATGCCATTTCAGGGCTCACATCACAGCTACATGGTCGTTGCCATCATTTCAGGGCTCACACCAGAGCCACAGATCAACCACCACCACTGTGTGTCTCATATCAGGTTAGGTTAGATATCAGAGAAAAGTTTTTCCTGTGAGGGTGGTGAGACACTGGCATAGGTACCAGAGTGTGTCATGAGATGCTGGGGCCAGAGCAGGGGCAAATACCTGTCTGTACTGAGTTCTGCCAGCTAAGCAGTATTTCCCAGCACAGAGCCCACAGGCACCCACGTGTGCACTGTCAGCAGCTTCCAGTCTCTCCTCACACACATCTGTTCCTCTGAGACATCACCACACCTCTGCTCACCAGTCCCACGCTGCACCTGGGGCATGCCCAGCCCAGCAGTGCTGCCTGGAGAGGGACAGGGACCCCATTCTGGGGGTTGTTCCTCACTTTCCCACATGTAAAACCCAGGTAAAACTTCACCTGTGCTGCATGGATAAAACAAACCTGCTGCAGCCACTCCCAGGATGTAGCTTTCCTGGGAAGTGAATGGGAAGGAGCAGGTCCCAAGGGCACAAGCACAGTGCTGGGCACAGCTTGTCCCTGGTGATCATGCTCAGTGTCCTTGGTCTCTGCACTCTGAGAAGAAATCCCAGACTGGGTTGGGTTGGAAGGACCTCAAAGCTCATTTTGTTCCACTCCCTGCACCTTGCACTAGCCCAAGTTCTTTCAAGCCCCATCCAACCTGGCTTTGAACACTACCAGGGATGGGGTACCCCCAGCTTCCCTGGGCAACCTGTGCCAGTGCCTCAGCACCCTTGCAGGGAACAATTCCTTCCCAATATCTAGTCTAAATCTCTCCTTTTCTCAGTTTAAAGCCATTCCCCTCTGTCCTACAGCACCAGTCCCTGCTGCTAAATTTGTACCCATCTTTTTTTTTACAGGCTCCTTCAAACATTCTCCCCCCAGCACAGTCACCCAGAGCTAGCCTGCCCTTTCCCCCATCCTGTTTTCATTCCTTAGGCAAAACCAGTCTTTTAGTGTTTATCTTTTCCCCCCTGCAGCGATAGACTCAGAGATTTGGCAACCCTGAGGCCGGGAAAGAACCTTCATGTGATTTCTCTCTAGTCTTGTGTTTTCCAGACTGGAAAGCACAATGGACACCCAAGGAGCAGCATCCCAGTGAAGGACAGAGCATCCCAGCACCAGGCTGTGCCCCAGGAGATGCTGCTGGTGCTGGGAGACTACATGGAAAGAGGAAAATCTGCAGGGAGGTGTGTTCTGAGTGGAGCTTCTCCACTCTGCCATGAAACATGGGAGCAGAGTGGGCACTGCATGCAACTCAGGCAGGGGGTACTGGGGATCTCCTCTACTCCTGAGGCCATCCTGACCCTGAGTTTGGTGCTGCAGAGGACCTGCAGGAGCCCCAAATAGTCTCTGCTCTGGGTCCCTGTGTGCTGAGAGGGGATGGAGGATGGAGAAAGGGAAGTCTGACGGGGTCTGGGGGCAGGGGACAGGCTGGAGAGTCTGCAGCATTTGGTGCTGCAGCAGGACAGTCCCTGGCCCTGTGCCCATGCACATGTGGGAATTTCCCTCTCCAGCCTTTCTGGTTTCAGTTTCCAACTAATGCACTTAGAAGGCTTTTCCTTCCCTGCCTGCTGTGGCAGGAGGCAACCAGCTGGGCAGAAGATCCTCTCAAAACACCTCATATCCTGGTTGTCTCTGGTCTGTTTAAGGACATGAGCCCTGTGACACTCCTCTCTGTCCCAGCTTTGCTTGGAGAAGCCCTGGGAAGAGAGGTGAACCATGGAGACCCTCAGATCCAGCAGCTGCATTGTGTCCCTGCTGCTCCCCAACCTGTAGCTGCCCCTCCACAGCCCTGGCAGAATTCAGTTCTCCCCTCCTCTTGCTCTCAGCTGTTCTCAGCACAAGGAATACAACTGGGGTCATTTCTGGCCAATGTTGCTGTCTCATCTGACACAATGTCCCAACATTCTGGCACAGCCTCTCCCTGCCACTCTGGGATAGGTGATGGTTTGTGCTTGGTCTCACACCTCTTTGATTTCTGTCCTGACCTGCACTGCCCATGGTCTGGCAGATCCACACCCTTTCTCCTAAACCCATCCATTTCTACATCCCATCACTGTTGCTTCCCTGTGGAAGGGACTAGACCTGAGACAGGAGAGATTCAGATTAGATGTTAAGAAACATGTTTTCCCTGTATAGTGTGTTCAGGCACTGGAATATTGCCCAGGGAGGTGGTGGAGTCACCAGGCCTGGAAGTGTTTGAGAGGCATCTGGATCTGGTGCTGGAAGATATGGTTTGGTGGTTAGAGCAGTGACAGGCTAAGGGTTGGACTTCACAATCTTAGAGTTCTCCTCCAACCTTGATGATTCCTTGAAAGTTGAAGCTGGATGGATCAGTGCCAAGCACAAACATGTGTGTCTGCCAAGCTCCTGATGGGAACTTGTCTCTGGATGAGCCTTGTCTCCTTGTTGCTGACATCCTCTCTCAGTCCTGCTCTGCTCCAGCTGAATTTGCCTAGAATCACAGAATCATTGATGTTGAAAAAGTCCTTTAAGATCATCAAGCCCAACCACTCCCCAGCACTGCCAAGGCCACCACTAACCATGGCCCCAAGTGCCACATCCACATGGCTGCCAAACCCCTCCAGGGATGGTGACTCCACCACTGTGCCAATGTTGCCCTGGGCAGCTCTGCCAGGGCCTGACCACCCTTTCTGTGCAGAACCTGTTATTTGTGTTGTTTTTTTCTCTTCTGGAGGAAGAAGGGCTCAGGATGGACCTGTGATACCTGATGAGAATAGGCATAACCTGCTCTAACCCCTTGGTCTGACCTGCTAGGAGTGTTCATTCTCTGCTGGTTGCACTCCTCCACGTTGTGTTCCCTCCTGGTCCTATGAGTTGAGTCCTGCACCCCAAATCTCTTCCAACCATCCCTGACACAGCTCTGTGCTGCTTCACAGGCACAGATTTTCCAGGAAGGACTTCCCCCCTCCCCCCCCCAGCGCCCCCATCTGGTGCCAGCAGCCAGATGCTGTGTGGGGACAGGCTCTTGCCCAGGCAGGAAGCCTTTGGCTCTGTCTCACATATCTCTCTCTCTCTTGGCAGCAAGAGTGGGACTCACCTGGGATTTGCCATCACTCAGTCCTGGAAAGGAGATGCTTCCCAGTTGCAAGGAGATGGCTGAGAAGGACCTAACCATGCTGACACTGGGATAAGCCCAGTGGAGGGAGGGTGAGAGGCTGTTCCTGGTGTCCTGTGGGGTGCAGCCATCCCAATAAGGGTGAGGAAGAGCTCCTGGGTGAGGAGCTCAGTGTGCAGCAGGGCAGTACCCACACAGTGCCTGCTCAGCAGACACCAACCACTCGCCCTGCAGTGGCCACTTTGTGGTCTGTGGCCCCTTTGTGGTCTGTGGCTCTTGTCCCTGCCTGCAGAAGCTATCAGTGAGTCAAGGCAGAGCTCTGTCTGCCCAGGAACCTCCTC